GTCAGTGTATTTTGAACTCAATTTGCTTCAAAACCCTCAAGAATATCAATGAACAATTAGCCATTAAACTCAGAAATCGATTCTGCAGCTCACAAAACAAATCGTAATAATTTGTCTGTATTTTACACTCAAATCGTTCCAAAACACTCACAGATTTACAGCGAATCATTTGAGCTATTTGAAGCCATAAAATTTAAAAATTGGTTCAGCTATTCACTTAAAAAATTGTTATGTACTTACCGTTGCGGTCATAGACATTGCATCACCTATTTCTTTTGATTCTTATGTTAATAATGCTAATTCCATTGAATGTTTTTGTTTATTTTTTACTCATTAAGCTACAAGAAAACTTTTAACAATGTTTCTCAGTTCAGTTTTAACTAATGTTAGGATAAAAGCTATAATTATGACCTATATCAAAAACTATCCTTGTCCAAAAATATCAAAATTGAGGCGTTACATGAAGTAAAGAAATTTTCCCTGGAAATAGTAAAGAGAATAGGGTACCACCAATCAATGTTAATCATAGTTTTGAGAGGGAGAAAAAAAGGCACCATGGAGCAAAAGAAAAAACTGGTAAGGGAAAAAACAAACAAACAATTTAACCGTTTAATGGTGCAATGGTTTTTAGAATATTGTTTCAAAACTGGCAAAGAAATATCCAGAGATCTTGCAGATAACAATCTGGTAAATGAAATTAAATTTTTATTGAGTGATTCAATTTCAATGACCTTTACTGTAGAATCAGTGTTGGAAAATTACTCGAGTAAATGAGTAATTAAATTAATTCAATGATCATGAGTAATGAGTACGATTAAATTACTCATCACTCTTGTAGTAATGGGTGATTACTGATCACTCTTTAGCCATGAGTAAATCACTCATCATTCATTTTGTCACCATTATTAATGATAAAAATAAATGTTTTTCTTTCATTTAATCTAATATCTTTTTTATAGCTGGCTGTGTAGGAAGCAATGCGAGAGCGGAAGACAACTGACTAGTGACAATCACCTGTAAATAAATAACTACATCCATGGGTTGCCATGTTGCACCAGCCGACAGTTGAAGTGATAAATCAAAATATGTGTGCCAATTCCCAATCAAACTGGATGCAGTGGCGATCCAATCTCTGATTCATCAAATGGAGGAGGGAAAAGGACTTCAAATTTCAAGATCACCATTTTAGATGGTAAATTTTTAAATTAAAAATTTCTAATAGTGACGTATTTATCGGCACTTGCATCCTTTGCCTCCTTGAAACTGTAGATATCAAGGACTATGGAACATCATCTAGCAATTTTATTTCACATTTACGAAGAAAGCATGGTAGGGAACCTGTCATTGAATATAGAAAGTACACTAAAAATATTCTAATTCTACAAAAAGAACTGAACATAACTCATCAACTACAAATAAAAAATTAGAAAATTTAATGAAGCATTAATAAAATTTGTAATTGATGGGATGGTCCCTCTGCGGATAGTTGAAAACAAATATATCAAGGAAATGTTCGACAAACTTAATCTTGAAAACACCTATATAGACTTCTTTAGTCAGCGAACTTTAGGGAGGATTGATCAATGTTATAAACAAAAATTGAGGGTTATATGTACAGAAACTGCTTAAATTTGTACAACTTGTGACATTTGGTCAGCCTGAAAAAGAAGTTTCTTGGAATTTACTATTCATTGGATAACAGATAAATTTGAGAGGAAATTGTTAGTTTTGGCTTGTCTTTGTTTTTAAAACACTCATTTAGCTGGTTGAATCACTTTTTTATTAAAAGAAATATATAATCAGTATGAGAAGGAGTTAGTCGAGGGTGCGGTCAAATAAATAAAAAATTAAAATATATTAATTATTTTAATTTTTGCCGACGTTTCGACCCACTTTGCAGGTCGTCTTCAGGGCTACAAAAGATACAAAACATGTTGAAAATAAAAAATAAATATAAGTATACATAAAATAAGAAGAAGTTGTCAGATACAGAAATAAAAGATGGTATCAGAGATATAGTGGGTGACAATGTAGTTAAATATTAAGAATTATATATGTAGAAGATACAAATAAATGGAAAATAAGTAGGAATAAAAATTAAAATAAGGGAGAATATAGCATGTAAGTTAAAAATAAACAGATTGCGATAAAAGATAAGGAATAAGTGTATAACAAACTAATAGAGATTACATTAGATTACTGTGGGTTAAAAGATAAAGGAAATAAATACATGAATGTTAACGAATAAATAGATTGAAAATTGAATAATTATTGTTACAGTAAAGTTAAAATAAGGATAAGATAACATAATAATAAGATATCAGTGGATAACAAGCAAGTGGAGGTGACCTTTAATTGTAAATAAACAGATAACGGGACTAAAGGTTAAGAAGTGAAGAAATTGAAAGATTAATAGAGTAACATCAGTGTAATATCGTTGGGATAGATTATTAAGTATAAATAACTCTATAAGAAAACAATAATTTTAAAAGAATACTTTAAAATGTAAGAATAAATGTAAAACAAGGTTATGATGATAAAGAAACAAAAAAGTGGAAAGTGGGTCGAAACGTCGGCAAAAATTTAAATAATTAATATATTTTAATTTTTTATTTATTTGACCGCACCCTTGACTAACTCCTTCTCATATTATATCAACGGTCAACCATCTCTACATTATTATAATCAATATGGATTGTCAAACAATAAGATATTGGCTACGATTACAGGCAATGCGAGTAATTTTATAAAAGCCTTTTGATTTTTTGGAGTAAAAATTAAGCTAATAAACTATCAATGAAGCAATAATACTGTTTTTAATCGGCCAATTACAATTGATTCTTCAGGAAGTGAACTTGACGACGATGACGGAAATGAAACCACTGCTGATACTTGTGATTTATCAAAAATTTTATCATGTCACATAAGATGTCGTAGTGATACTTTAAATTTATGTGTTTCAAGAGATGGTACCAAAGCTATCGAAACTTCTGAAGAGTTGTAAATTATTCATGATACTGTACTAAAAATATGTAATGTATTATGAAAATCAGCTACAAGAACAAAAACGGCTGAAATTATTTTTGATCTACTGGGTCATAATCTTTCCCACCATGTTGAAACTAGATGGAATTCTCTGTGCGAGTGCATTGAATTTAAAACATCCTCTTAGTGAAGAAGAATTCCAATACATTTCTGAACACCTATTTCTTTGATATTTTGCAAGCCAAAAATAATATTTTCTTTGGAATTTTATTACCATCTTTAATTTTGCTCAACAATAAACTACAAATTATGTCTTAACGTGGCTTTATATATTGCGTACCTTTAGTTATTGCTTTGCAAGCAAGCTTTCAGCAACATTTTGGAGAATTCTTCTCATCTAATACTGGAGGAGGCGGTTATTGGAGCATTCTCCTACCCATGATTCAAAATAGATGGTTGCAGAGTGTAACTGCATCCCATCGAGATTATTTACAAACTATATTTAAAGATGCAGTTACTTTAGAAAATCCGGAGTTCCAAAAAGTGATTCCAGACTCCGCTAATGAGACCACCAGAGAAGATGACATATTTTTTAGATTTTGAAGAATTATTCATTCACTGACTTATCAACAATTGATTTGCAAATAAATTACTACTTCAATGAACCGTCAAGAGAGTTAACCAGTTGTGAAAAATACTCAGCCACAAAAAAGATTTTCTATAAGCACAACACTCTGTTGGCTGCAAAAAGTTTATTCTCTTATGCCACAAAGACAAATATACCAAAAGCAAATAAACTCTCAGATAATTTGTTTGAAAAAAGAATAATTCTAAACGCAAATATCTCATTACTTAAAAAACTTACTCAGTTTATTACTAATTGTTAAAAAGGTGATTTTATTTTTGTTTTTAATTTATTATGTATTATTGTTTCATTTATTTCATTACAAGAGATTTTATTTTATTGGGTTGTTCTCCAAATAACAAGCTTATATTTCTTTGTTTAAATCTAATTGTAATTTTTTTAGTTAAATATATTTTGATAAATATAAAATGTTCTTACCCAGGCTTAAAAAAAAAACATTAGATGTTGATAAAATGAGTAATAAGTGATTTACTCATGGCTACACAATTAAGAGTGATCACTCATCACTTATTACCAAGAGAGTAACCATTAATTTAATTGTACTCATTAATCATGATCATTGAATTATAATCTGTGGTACAGACACCTTTTTATCAAATTATTAACATCTGCCTTAAGCTTTACAAATAGTTTCATCTCATCTTATCCTACAAATATTTGATTTATGAAAATTCTCGGAATCGGGGCCGTTTTCAATCTGGATGTCGGTAAACTTTGTCTATTTAATTAGGTACTAAAAAATCGTAAATACCCATTTGCTTTCCACTTGGATGATAAGATAATTTGATCACAAAATCGATAAAAAAAGTGGCCTACAAAAACCCTGGACTGTTTGGCCTATATAACTTCATTATTTTGACAATTCGGGACTGTAGGCCACGCCAAACGGCTCAATATTTTTGAAGGCCAACTTTTTTTTTTTTTTACTTTGTGCTCAACTTATCTTATGATTCAAGTGAAAAATAAATGGGTATTTACCAGTTTTTAGTACCTAATTAAATAGACAAAGTTTGCTGACATCCAGATTGAAAACACCCATATTCCAAGAATTTTCATAAATAAAATATTTGTAGGCTAAGAGTTGTAGGTCCCGATTCCGAAAATTTTCTTGACTAAAATATTGTAGGTTACGATAAGATGAAACTATTTACAAAGTTTCAGGCAGATGTTTTATACTGTGAATTAAAAATATCTTATTTCGATTGTTTCATAAACATTACAATAATTCAATCACTATCGGATCCAGAATTTAATTTTTGTGGGAGCTTCAGCCCGAAAGCCCCCCCTCTCCCAACCCATAGATCCGCCTGTGAATCCAAGTATAAATAATTAAACCAATAATAATTTGATATAAACCCAAAAAACTCACATCATAAGCAGATTCTAAAGCAGCAAACTGAGTAAAAATTTGCTCAAGAGGTTTCCGACATACATTGACCAATATATTCAGTCTTCCACGATGAGGCATGCCCATCACGATGTATTCAACACCTAACTCCGACGATTTGTCAACAATTTGTTTCATGGCAGGAATCAAAACCTCAACGCCTTCTAGACCAAATCGTTTCTCACTAGACCATTTACGAGCAAGGAAAGCTTCAAATCTTAAAAAAAAGAAAGTTTTAAAATTTAACAAATCCAACTAAAAACTAATGATAATTTACTATTTAAACAATATAAATAAGTACACACATATCTACAACCTGGTAGAGTACTATTTTTATAATTTAATTTTATAGCAATAAATCATTAATTAAATACTAATATAAATTTTAATCAAAATGCAGTTTAATAATGTTTGGTTGTGTGCTAAATTTCATGTATATTGATAATAAAAACCTAGATTCCAATAAAATCACACTTTTTACTTTAACTTACCTATATATGAAATATACAATAATGGAGAGTATTGTGATCCTGAAAATTTTTGATATATGTTTTTAGGTTTCCTGAGTCCAAATAACCAAGTCCCACAAAATGCTGTGTGTGTGCGCGTATTTACGTGTGTGTTGTGTGCGTGTGTGCGCGTATTTACGTGTGTGTTGTGTGCGTGTGTTCCTGTGATCAGTCTAGCTCAAAAATGAAAAGTCGTATAAAAGTGAAATTCCATATTTAAGGTTTGTATATACCTGAGATGTTACAGGATCTTTTTCGTCAAAATCAGCTAACCGGAAATGCCACTTTATATAATGGAAGTTCCACATTTTTACAATTTTCTCAAAAATGGCTCTAACGATTTTGATTAAACTCGGTGTTTCATTGTATGATTAAGTGGTCTTTAATATCATTGAGCTCTTATCCCCATTAATGTCACTTTACAGGGCTTAAATGTTCAACATGTCTTTCTCTAAAGTACCTTTAATTTGGTTTATTTTAAATAATTAACTATCTCTCATTATTAAGAGTTATGAAAAAATGTTAAATATAACTTTTGAAAGAATTTGATAATTGAAAAATGGAGAAATTAAGAACCATGACCAGAGAGGGGGATGTAGAACAACAGTGGTGCTGCTTAAAATTGTGTATGAATTGGAACCTGCATGGTATTTGGTGTATGAATTGGAAACTGCAAAGGAAGTTTGCGGCTTGCGCAAAATATCTAATAAACAAAAGTGCACTGAGTGGTTGAATGAGTAAGTAAGAAATTTAGTTCAATTAAAGAAGAAAGCGTGGAAAGCTTATATTCAAGAGAAAACAATCAGAAAACTAGACGAATACCAACAAGCTAGAAATCAATGCAAAATAACAGTCCGACAAGTGAAAAGAGAGTCATGGGAAAGATTCAGAAAAATTCTCGATAAAGAGCACCGGCAAAGTATTAAGAAGTTCTGGCGTAAAGTAAAGATGTTAAGAGGAAAAATAAGTAAGCCAGTGAGAAATATCAAAGACTCTAGTGGCAGCATGGTCACCGAAGAAGCGAAAATTCTTGAACGGTGGAAGGAGTTCTATCAGAGACACTTCTCAGGAGGAGGACCTACTGTCTCAGAAGAACATCAGGTAGAAAATAATATTCTGGAAAGTCTAGAAGTCATTGGGGAAGACGATATAGAATATGCCATCCAAGGAATTAAAATTGGTAAAGAGGCAGGAAGGAATGGCATAGCCCCCGAATTAATAAAATTTGCAAGACAGGCATTAATTAAATTTCTCCAACAATTCCTCCAAAAAATATGGGATACAAAGTTAGTCCCAAGGGATTGGGTGTCAAGTTTAATTATCCCTATTCATAAAAAGGGCAGCTCCACAGATTGTGAAAACTATAGGCCAATAAGCTTACTTTCAGTGGCTTACAAATTATACTTCTCAATCTTAGAAAGAAAATTAAGGCTCGTATTATTTGAGAACCAAATTGAGAGTGAACAAGAAGTCTTTCGTCCGGGGAGGCAGACTCAAGATCACATTTTCGTGCTGAGAGGCATTGGAAGCATGGGACAGAGACAAGAACATATATATGGAATTTCTGGACCTCAAGTCAGCATTTGACACTGTTCCAAGACAAGAAATATGGGATGCTTTGGTGGCAAAAAATGTTCCAGCTGATCTTATCACGGTAATTAGATCGCCTTATAAGGCAGCAAAAGGAATTGTAAGGATTAATGGTAGAGAATCCAAGCCTTTTCCCATGGAGAGAGAGAAGAGTCAGGCAGAGAGACAGAACAAGAGGGGACTTGTTCATCATATTTATGGATGAAATCCATAAAATTTGTAAGCGTCGTACTGCTTGGACAGTCATCAGAAAATGGAACCTGCCGAATATTATGGTCCAAAGCCTAATGTGTGCCGATGACATTGTTCTGATTGCTGACACGAAAGAAAAGCTGCAGCAGGCCCTTGTAGAATGGCAGGAAGAACTCCTCCGCAAAGGTATGATTATCAATAGCTCTGAATAGTCATATCAAGAGGACGTCCAGCTGATCTATAACGGGGAAGTACTTGAAGTTGTGCAAGAATTCACCTATTTGGGGACAATTATCAACAACAAGGGGAAGATTGACCCAGAAATAGCAAATAGGATATTCAAAGCCAACCAGGTTTATTACCCTATCAGCAACAGTATAGTGGGGCACAGGAAAGTTGGCAAGGAAACAAAAAGGCACATATACAAGTCGGTATACCTCCCAACCCTCACGTATGGAAGCAAAAGCTGGATTATGCTGAACAAGAAAGTTAGCCGTGTGATGCAGCCGAGATGAAGTTTCTGCAGAGAGCTGCTGGAAAGACCAGGAATGCAGAAATGAATGCATAAGAGAGGACCTGAAGGTGCCGGAGCTAAGGACATTACTGGAAAACCGACAGTTGAAGTGGTTTGGCCACGTTTGTCGGATGGAGGAGGAGAGAGATCCACGAAACATTCTGGAAGCTCGAGCCACTGGGAGGAGGCTGAGGGGCTCAGAATTTCCTATCAGGAGTATATGCAATGGATTGGAGAGAAAAGAGGCAGAACCCTCCAGGAAATGAGGCGGCTTAGTAGGGACCGAGAGGCATGGCTGCGTTGGATAGAGGCTCCTCGACGCTAGTAATGGAGAAGAAAGAAGAAAAAGGAAAAATGTTTATTTAGGTTGAAAATGAATTTCCGGAAATACTAGTCAAAATGTATACGTATTATATATCGTTGGAAACCGCAGAATTTTAGAAAAAGCAATATCTAATATAGGAAGTCATAGAAAGTAATGGAGAGTGACAAAAAATTATAAATAATATATTTTTAAAACTAATATTATTTAATGGAAATCACATGTTTTCAAGGAAATTAAATGAAATTCATTAAGTAAATGTAAACTTTTAAGTTTGAAAAAAAAAGTATTTAAAATCCACCTTATCAAGGCAATGGCATTGTTAAAAAAACGATTTCATAGTATTTATATGAAAGTAGGATTGCTCAGAGACTGGAGTTATATAGTTTACAAAAACAGATGGGATACCGATGTTTTCATTGCCTACCGTTGATATAATTAAGATGGTTTTTGTTATTTCAGTGGTCTTAATGTTTTGTTATCTGTAAGCTTTAAGCCGTTAAAAGTGCACTTCGAAAATTTTATAATTGCTCAACATTGCCAGAAAATAATTTTTATTCAAAGTAGAGAGGTAAGTGAAAGTTGTGTGTTGTGTGCACCAGATTTTAAAAATTAATTTTGTCTTTTTAGAGTATTTTAAAAATAAATTAGTAATTTAAATTTGTTGAATACAATATTTTATATAAAATTCACATACAATTTGGATCATCTTCCTCAGATTAGAATAATCTGTTCAGTAAAATGAAAAAGACATATCTAATGCAGTGCATTTATCACAATACTTTCACTTACCATCCTGTTTTGAGCAGAAATCAATTTCTGTTCTATTAGGATTAATAGAAATAGGATTAATAATTAATTATTTATATCGACTATTGCCTCCGAAGTTATTGAATACTGAAGTAAAAATATTACCTTATATTTCTTTCTGATTTATCTTTTAAAGCTTATGGCACTTTTTCCATCCCCATTACTTTCTACAACTTTATTAATGTTAGATACCATTTTTTCTGAAATCTTTAGCTTCTCTACAGTAATCTATACGTTGCTATGTATAGGTGATAGTAATTTTTTTTTCATAGTTTGTATTACTTTAAGGTACTTTACATGAGTTCCTGTACTTACTAATACTTGAATAAATATCCCCATGTATAACATCCTACCTTGCCATATACCTATTTTATGTTAAAGTGAAAACATAATTTATTATAAAATCGATTATTTTTGAACCTCTGTGTGTCAACTATTATAACCTCTGGGTGTGTTATAAGAGATTGAGTTTAACCTTATGTAGATTGCTGTACAATGTGGTACTTACTGCCTTTGTTGATTATAATGTAATGTGTTTTGGTAATTAAAAGTGTAAAAATTATCAGTGAGTGTTTTATTAAGAAATACCTAAACATTTTATACCAGTATTTTCACTTTCCTATAATTTTTTGGTATTGAGCTGGGCACTTCACATACATACATATTGGATTTACCTGAAAATAATGCAGAATTTGGTCTAAAAAGAAAGATTTACATGTGTTTTATTTAATCAAAATAGTCTCTACTACTATCAAAACATTTCTGCCAATGTATTGGCAACTTTTCCATTCCCTCGGAATAGAATTTCCCATCTTAAGAATTGATAAACTCCAAAACCGCATTTTCTAATTTCCTTTGTCTATTAAATTTTAGTAGTAGTGGTTCAGGTATCTACAAAAATGATAATCCGTAGACGGGAGGTTCGGAGAATAGAGCGGAGGTGGCAGAGTTTCAAATCCAAGCACCAACAGTTTTTGTGACGTCAGATGTGAGACATGTGGTTGGGCGTTGTCATGCAACACAAAAGGGTCCCTTCCGATTGACCAAAAATAGCTTCATTATTGCCAATTTCTGATGCATTGCATTAATTTGGTTACTATACGATTCGGTATTGATGGTTGCTCCAGGATTTAAGAAGCTGTAGTGTATCAAATCTAATAAAGCCCATCCAAACAGTAACCAAAACCTTTTTTTGATGAGTTGGTGGCTTTGGAAAATGTTCTGCTGCTTCATCTTTGTCGAGCCACTGTTCAGAATGTATACTGTTATCGTAAAGTATCCACTTTTAATCACAAGTAATAATTCCGGAAAAAAAGGGTCGTTTTTGTTTCGGCGAAGAAGTGTAGCACAAACTTCATAATGCTGGTTTTTTTGGCGGTATTTTAATGTGTGTGGAATTCAACTTTCAAACCTTTTTACTTTTCCAATCCCCTTGAGGTGGTCATGGACGGTCAATTTGCTAAGGTTAAGTTTCCTTACACGTTCTCGAATAGTTGTTCTGGGGCTTTCTTCCAGCAAAGCCCGCTGAACATCACCATCAAGAGAGGAAGTCCCTCCATGACCTTCTTTGTCTTCTAGGCTGATGTTTCCCTCCCGAAATTTTTTGAACCACTGTTGAACAGTAAACTCATTAATGATGCTCTTTCCCTTGATTGATGTTTCTGGCGATCTGGGGCCAATTCCGGTTTAGTTTAAACTCGTAAAATAAAATTCTATGAAAACCATGCGTTGAGATCTTAGCAAAGACTATATTATTTCCAAGCAGCCAAATTCTACAGAGGTAAATAAACAATATCATTTAAAATAGCATTAATAAGTGTTGACATTCATACAACTCATACCAGACTGAAACAACAAGAAACCGCTTGACGTTTCCGTTTACTTCAGCACTTACTAGACAAACTTTCTTCAATTAATTACAAAAGACTCATATACATGACTATAATAAGGCCTATTTGGACTTACGGAGTTGAGCTATGGGGCTCCACTAAACCATCGAATTCCTCTCTTGTCCAATCCCTACAACCCCGCATTATTTTCCGGATAATCCAATATACAATTTTACGAGGTTTGTTCATTTGAACTAAGAGAACTTTAAAACCCAGCTGTCCTTCCTCTCTCATCGAGAACGCATCTTTACAAAAATTATTTAATTTTTAAAAATAAAATTAATCTAAACTCAAAAATTGACATACCCACTGGCACGTGTGAGCCTAGCTAAAATCAGTCTTTTCTGGTTAGCGTCAAGGTTCATGATCCCGGGAGGCTCCATCTTCTTCCTGATCCAATTACACTGTTCTAATGAGTTTATGAACATATACTCAACCCCTATATGCCTGCAATAGACATCCTGAAGCCTTTTTAAAATATCCCTCAGCTTTAGGGATCTTTCCTTTCCTCCGATAAAAGTTGTCGAGGGGAGTTTGAAAACTCGATCCATGTCAGCATCATCTATTATTGACATACAATGAGTAATATTAGTAAAGAAAAAAAATCTGAAAATATAAATAAAACAGAAGAAAACCTGATTAAATACTTTATGGTTGACTGTGATATATAATTGAGTAAGGAGATGGTCCTGGATGGCGGTCATAAAAAGACTAAAATAGTGGAAAAACTATTTTATTTCAAGCCGACGTTTCTGTCCAACTTTGCAGGTCTTCTTCAGGGCTAGAACGAACAAGATATAAAAGGATATAGAAAATTGTGGAAGATACATAATATTTATATAAAAATTATAAACATTGTGAATAAACTTATTAAAATTATAAACAGTGTGAATATAATATACAAAGAAATATTAATAACAATAAACTATATAAATAGGGTAAACGGAGTATAACTAAGTAACAAGATCCTAAACTGAATTAAATAAATGGTAACAATTGTTGTAGATGGGGAAAAATTGAATGTAATAAGGAGGATGGATAATATATATAATTATGAATATAATCCTACAGATCATAAGGAAATATTGAAAGAGAAAGGAAAAATAATAAGAAATGATGAATATAAAGGAACTGTGAAGAAACTGAAAAAATAAATAATTGCTGCATAAACCCGTGTTCATTTATTTTTTTCTGTTTCTTCACATCCCCCTTATGTCCATTATTTGTTATTATTTTTCCTTTTTCTTTCAATCCTTCCTTATGATCTGTAGGTTATATTTATAATTACGTATATTATCCATCCTCCTTATTACATTCAATTTTTCCCAATTAACATTTATTTACTTCAGTTTAGAATCTTGTTTCTTAGTTATACTTTGTTTACTCTGTCAATATTGTTTATTGTTATTAATATTTCTCTGTTTATAATTTTAATAAGTTTATTCACTTTGTTTATATTTTTTACCTAAATATTGTGTATCTTCCATAATTTTCTATATCCTTTTGTATATAAACTCAGGCCATTGTCATTGGTTCCAAGCCCCTCCTTAGATCCCTAGGACTTTCCCATATTAAACCTTGGTGACCAGCCAATCTCCTTCTACTCCTCTGTAAAAAATTTAGGACTATTTATTGATCAAACCCTCTCCGGGAGTCACCATATTTCTCACATCTCCTGACGGACAGTTTCTACCCTCAAACTATTCCATTGCTTCCGCCATCTCCTACCTCAACATACGCGTAGACTCCTCGTTTCCTCTCTCATCTTCCCCCACTTTGACTACTGCTGTGTGGTGTATGATGGACTCTCGGTGGAGCTCCGCGACAGACTGAAAAGAATAATGAACAGTTGCGTGAGATTTGTAATTGGTGTCCCGAGATACTACCATGTCTCTCACCATTACACTGAGTTAGAGTGGCTCTTCCCCTCCATTCGAAGACAATATTTCCTAGGTACATTCCTCTATCATATCATCAACAATCATCGTCCTTCCTACGCCTACAACCTTCTCCAATTCAAGTCCTCAGTCCACTCACTCTCCACAAGATCTCGACCTTCCGACCTTTACATTCCTTCTCACAGATCTGCCTCATTCCAAAACTCCTTTATTGCACGTTCTGTCAGTTTCTGGAATTCCCTTCCTATCAAAATTCGACATTCTTCATCCTTATCTACATTCAAAACCCTCCTATTCCAATTCCTGTCCCAAAAACACCAATTCCTGTCAGGCACCAGCTAACCTTTTATGTAAAAGTACATATTATCTATAAGACCATATTCACATATAGCTCATGACCTGAATACTTATTATAGATTCGACTTTCTTTTTCTCTTTTTTTTTTTTTTTTTTTTTCAACAGAAACAGATTTTACTGTTAAGAAGAATATACATTTATTTTGTCTGTATTTTTTATTTTTTCTAAAAGGGTTTATTTATATTTTAACATTGTACATAGTTTTAAGTATCTTACTATGGTTTCAAGAGTTTTTTATATAGATTTTTTAATTTTATTTTGTATATAGTATGTATAACCAATATTTTTTTCTTTTCTTTTCTTTAATGACCTATCTTTATTTTAATTTCTTATGTTTGTTTTTATCTGGCCAGATGTAAAATTTTAATTTCTGTACTTTTTTGTTATTCTGAAGGGACTTCGTCCCAGAATAAAATTATTTTTCTATTTCTATTTCTATTTCTATATTGTTCGTTCTAGCCCTGAGGAAGACCTGCAAAGCCGGCAGAAACGTTGGCTTGAAATACAATAGTTTTTCCACTATTTTAGTCTTTTTATGACCGCCATCCAGTACCATCTCCTTACTCAATAATATACTACGGCCAACCACAGTTTTTTTTTCTTTTCTCAGCAATTTTCCTTGACCATGGGGTGAGAGGAGAGGATTTAAAAGACCCCCAGGTACCAGGACACGAACTCATAATTTTATTGTCTCCAACCTCGGCTATCAGGTTGCTAGGCAATGCTCTGTGCTATAAACACACGTCAGCCCGTTCGGCCACCCTACCCTTATTCGTTCTAGAACTGAAGAAGACCTCCAAAGTCAGCTCAAAAGGTCAACTTGAAATAAAATAGTTTTTCCACTATTTTAGTTTAAAGTAAAATTTTATAATAAATATGGAAATTAACGGAGTAAGAGAACTCGCTTTTATTTAAAGCGGTTATTCAAATTAAAAATGAATAAGATTGGAAAGTAAAATATAAATAATTTGTTTTTCAAAATGTTTTGTAAATAGTAGAATATGGAAAATCACATATTTGGAATCAATTAATATTATCAATTACTCATTAATTCATAAGCAGTACTTTAGCAATATAAAATTTTATGAACATAAATTTATGATTCAGATAAATAAATGCCATAAATATAAAAAAAATCATTCGTAATGGATAAGTTAAAAGCAAAACTTGGAGGTGTTTTTTTTTTGTTTGTGTTTTTGGAAGAAATACAATAAAAGGAAATAGTTCCCTTCATAAATAAAATAAAACATCACATACATCAAAAGTTAGTAAAACAAAACAATAGACAAATAGGATCAAGATACATACAATTTAATGCAAAAATGTTCTTGGTGAAACCATCGTTTCATGAGAAGAAAAAAAATTCTTGCATAAAAAAAACAAACAACATAATTAACATTACCACATATGATGCATCAGGAGACCAACATTAGTAAAAGAATCCCATGAATTTGTTGTGCCTTTTCTTCTCCCTTGAACAGATTAGACTCCAAAATCAAAATGGAAACAACAAGATTACAATAACAAAACAAGGCATTGGATGAAAAGGAAACAAAAAAAGGTATTTCAAGAATTTAATGTACAAGTAGTATTAGTAATACATGTCTATTACAAAAAAAAAAAAAAAAAAAAATGGAAATTTCACAGAGGTTGTGATATGCTCCGGGCGCCAAAAAATTACATATTTTTTTTCTACTCGGAGTAGAATAATAGACCTCATATCCATAAAAATTATGCCAACAACAAAAGAAATGAGTTATTTACATGCATATAAACATTCATTGCAACTGAAGACATACGTTCAAAAACTTCTTACTTTCTATTTGAACTGAAATATTGACATTAATGCTTCTTGGCTTACAGAATTTTCTTATATTATTGATATAGTTTAATATGCAAACCTATCAACGTTCTATAGCCATCAAAAGTGAAAGCAGTAATAGAAAATTAAATAACTATAACAGAAAAATCATGTAGCACATAATTTTTATAATAAACTTATGGTTAAAAAAAAAAGTAAAGTATGCATCCTAAGAACCAATATTTTAGGATAGTATCAAGAAAAAAAGACTAATATAAATAAGAAAAATTATTTAATCTGGGAAACAGTAGGGTACTTCAATTTCTAAGGAGATATTAATTATTTCTAGGCACGTAGTAAAGGGAGGCTTCATCCTCTTTAGATTTTGTTAATGGAGCAGTGTACCTAGTTGCATAGTTGTGAAATACTTAGTTACTATGAATGAATCCTCTCACATGCAAAATTTGTTTTGTTATTTTCTAAATATTAGTAAAACATTCCCTTTAATATATAGGTGTTTGATAAGGAATTCTAGAAGCTTGAGATACCAATATGTTTAGTGAGGAGTACTGTAATAACATTAAAATATTATAGTTATAAGTCAATTATTATTAGCTATATTCTAATTATAAGTCAATGCTCATGAAATATTATTGATACTACATATACATGACATCAGCTGATCTGAAATATTTTAATCTTACTTTTGAAGGGAGAGCCAGTAAGGAGTCATCATACACATATGTGATAAAACTTCATGTACTTGATCTGCAGATCATGGTCAACAAATCAGATCAGAATATTTAATATTATTGTGATTGGAGAATATATATAGTTCTAACCTCAACCTCTATTTAAATTGTCTAAAATTCTGTTGTAAAACTGTTAAATTTTATGGGGAGAAGAGGCAGCAGATCCTCCTACCCTGGACCTTTGAAACCCCTGGTTTCCTCTCTTGTTTTGTATCACTTCGACTATGATTGTATAGTGGACTCTCGGGAGAACTCGAAGCCAAACTTGAACGACTAATGAATTTCTCAATACGCTTTATCTTCGGTATCTTAAGGGATACGCATGTTACTCAGAATTACACAGAGTTGAAGTGGCTTTATCTGTCCTACTGTCAGTACATTCTTACTGTAATTCGGTTACTAGAACATACATTCTACAGGCTACTAGAACTTGGCGATCCTCCTATATTCTACATATCCTAAAATTTAATTTCTACATTCAATTCTGTCCCACTAGATCGCATACGTCCAATCTCTATCTTCCTGACTGAACTGCTGTGTTTGTTAAATCCTTTGTAATTCAAGCTGTCTTATATCTTTCTATTTCCTTTATTTTTACTTCATATCTTCAATTATTTTGCAAATATTTAATTTTATATAATGGACACAAATATTTTTATTTTCATTCTGTATTTATAATTTGTTCTAAAGATTTACTAGTCCCAGAATAATAAAGTTATTTTCATTCATTCATTCAAATACATTTAAATTGACAACTGTATAAGCAAATATACAACTAATAAATTTGTTGGTAAATTGGTAATATATGTTCGACTTGAAGAGAAACTACCCATTCATAGCATTTCAGCTATATTACTTTAAATTATTATTTTAATAAGAATACTTACTAAAGTAGTAATCATTGTATACAAGTTGTGCTGCATTACTTTCATCTAAATCAGCTGATGAGATTCCCAACGGATCCAATTGAGCAACGTGGTGTCCTCGGATCTAGAATTGAAATAATAATTAATTTTATTTATTTATTTTTTTCTTTATTATTTCCAGATTGGATTAGTAAGTCTTATATGGTTATTTTAAAAATGAAAAGTATTTTTAACAGCTGAAAGTGTAAGGCTACATTCTCATACAATGGACACATCCAACAACTCATGTTGTTTATTATTATGAAATAATTGTAAATTTGTAATGAAAAATTAAGTATATTGGTTAATGGTGATATAAAAAAAAGTAATTCAATCGAAGAAATAAAAATGAGAGAAAAATAAATATATATATTTACTTATTTATTTTTCTCTCATTTTTATTTCTTCTATTGAATTTTTTTTTCTTTTTTACATATGACCTGATACTTAGGATCTGGCTGGAGGAAGAAATTCCTACTGAATGGTCTTCTGGACTTATTGTGCCAATTCGGAAAAAAAGGGGACAAGACGGTATGCCACAATTATAGAGGTCTTACACTGCTAAATGTATACAAAATATTACCAAACCTTATAATGGCGAGGCAGAAGGTATACTTGGAATGAAGTTTAACTGATTATCAATGTAGTTTTAGGCCCAATAGGAGCACGATTGACCAGATCTTTGTTATCAGACAGGTATTGGAAAAATGTTATGAGCGCAACATAAATGTACGTTTGCTTTTTATAGACTTACAGCTAGCATTCCATCATGTTGATAGAGTCCAGTTAACTTCAGCCTTAAATGAGTTTAGTATTTCCTTAAAATTAATTAATTAAATTAAAATGATATTGTTTCACTCAAGACAGAAAATTCTTATTAGAAATAGAATGAGTAACGAATTCATTTCAATGGTGGATTTCGACAAGGTGATGCTCTATCATCCATACTGTTTAACTTAGCTCTCCACAACGGCTTAAAAACAATTGAACGAAGAGGAAGTTTGGTAACCCGTACCTCACAGATTCTCAGATATGCAGATGACCTAATGGTTCTCAGAAGAAGCGAACGAGCGATGAGAGAAGTCCTCACTGAACTGGTGCCCAAATGTAAAAATGTTGGCCTAGAGATGAAGAATCAAAGACAAAGTACATGGTGGGGTGAGTGAAGAGATCTGGAAACGAATCATGGTAGGAAATAGAGCATATTATGGTCTTGTAAACTTCTTCAAATTGCCACTTCTCTCTAGAGCTACCAAGATGAAGCTTTACAAATCGCTTGTCTGGTCTGTTGTTTGCTATGGCGCAGAACCCTGGGCCCAAAATGTTACAGACCGACACATGCTAAGTCTATTTGAATGGAATATCTTGAGATGTATTATTGGTCCAGGTACATTGCACATTATAAATAACCAGGATCTGGAAGACTTGATGAGGCATGAAAACAAATAACACTTCATAAAATCACAAAGAATCAGCTGGCTTGGTCATGTGCAGAGAATGAAAGATGATAGAATGACAAAGAGAATAATGGGAGAGAATGTGTCAGGCAAAAGCAAAAGAGGACGACCTAGGAGACGATGGCTGGATGACCTAGAGGATGATCTGGAAAGATCATATTTTAATTGATTAAGATCTATATTTTAATTGATCAAAATTGGGAGGGTGAGAAAAAAAAGCTGAGACCTTCCAAAAAACCCTTTTTCTGGCATCACTCATTTCACATCACTTGATACCATTTTGGGGAGCTTGTTTTTTTCCTCTTTCTTTTGTTAATTAATAACAGTGATTATTCTCGAATAAAAAGGAAGAAACTCAAAAAGTATATATTCCGAACTGTCCGGAAGTAGACAGACTGGTAAGATTTTTCTTCTTTTTGTTTTTTTCTGTTGCCATTACAGACCATGTAAATCTTTTGCCGCCTTAACAAGCCTGCTCCATCTCTGCCTGTCTTGTGCTATTTCTTTCCATTTATCTGCATGCATCTCTGTTGATTCTATAAAGTCTTCCAGATGGATTGCTACAGGCCCGTGTGCCTTCATATCATGGCATATTGATTGACCAGTTTCTGTAAGCAGTTCTTTATTGGGCTTTCTTCTTCATGTGCTAATACTCTGATCCCAGATCGCTCCAGTTATCGTGTGGAAGATTTTTCTCTCAAATCTTTCGACATTTTTTTCTTGGGTGCTGGCTAGTGTCCAGGTTTTGCAGCCATATATTAGAACTGGCTTTATCATAGCATTGTACACCCTTAGTTTGAGATTTTTCGGGATTTCAATATCTTTGAGAGAGAGAAGAAAGTTCTGTTTGCGCTAGTTATACGCTGGTCTATTTCTGCCCGTTGTTCATTCATTGAAGATATCGTGGAGGCCAGGTATTTGAATTTTTCTACTCTCGAGAATGATTTTCCTTCCCCTGTTATTGGGGTGGGCTTTTTGTCTTCATTTACTTGTAGACTAGACCGATCTGCTCTGCCTCTCTTATGAGTGTTGTAGCGAGTTTCTGAATGTCTTCTTGATTACTAAGGACAGCTATACCATCTGCGTATCCAAGGAACCCCTCCATTTGCCTGTGTTGTTGCTCTTATTATATTCTCCAGGACTACGATGAACAACATTGGTGATAGTCCATCTCCCTGCCGTAAGCCCGTTCGAACTTTGAAGGCTTTAGATACTTCTTGTATTAGGACTCTACATTTGGGGTCATTTGTACACGCCTTTGTGAATATTACCAACTTACCAGGAATTCTCAGTTCAGTCATGATTTTCCAAAAACAGCTCCTGTCCACAGAATCGTAGGCTGCTTTGAAATCGACAAATAGGGCGTAGACCTCCTGAGCTACTTCCCATCATTTTTCAAGTAATTTTTTTCCTTATAATTTTTAAATAATTGAGCTTATAATTTTCCAACTTTTATGAAATTAAATTATTGATGAAACTTTAATGATTTTCGAACACTATGAAGTAATTATTAAGCAAACTCAACAGTCTGTCAGAATGACATTCTGAGGCACTATTGACGTTCTGATTGATCATGTGAGGTAAAGATTGATGGGCGTGACTGATGGAAATCAAATCAAAGCTTGAATGATGAGAAACGCAGGGAAGCCTAACCTTACTACTTACAATTAGTAGGCTAATTTACCTAGGCCTCATAACCATTCTACATTCCTGATTTTCATTTAAAATAATTATTTTTCATATCCATAGTTTATATTTTTACAAACGATCTCCAACTATTTTTTTTAATATAATAAGTAGGCATTGATTGACCGCCAAAAACTGTATAATATTCTAATCGAGCAGGGGATTCCAAAAAAACTAGTAAATCTAGTCAGGATGTGCTTGACGGAGACACTCAATAAAGTTAGAATCGGTAATAATTTGTCCGAAAAATTTGAGGTTCGTTCGGGTTTAAAACAGGGGGATTCTCTTTCGCCTGTCCTGTTCAATTTGACATTAGAACATGCCGTTAGGGAGGTAATGCGAACCGAGAGAGGGTTGGATCTGGGCGGGACAACATCCGTGCTGGGCTATGCTGATGATCTGGTACTGTTAAGCGAAGACGTTGAAACTATAAAACTAAATACGACAACGTTAATGAAAGCCGGTAAAGAACTAGGACTCGAAATAAACGTGGAGAAACAAAATATATGGTTAGCTGCAAAAATGGCGATACTACTGGTGATATCGATATAGATGGTAATATATTTGAACAGGTAGAGAAATTTAGGTATCTAGGGTCTACGATAACTAAAAAAAAACGAAATTGAAGAAGAGATTAAGGTTAGACTGAAGGCGGGAAATGCTTTTTATTTTTCTGTGACAAAACTACTTAGTTCGCGCCTCTTGTCCCGAAACTTAAAAATTAGAATCTATAAAACAATTATCTTGGCTACAGTTCTTTATGGATGCGAAATTTGGCCGCTTACACTAAGGGATGAGCAGCGTCTTAAGGTTTTTGAAAATAAAGTATTGCGTAGAATATTCGGACCGAAGAAGGATGAGTTAACCGGAGAGTTCAGACGGTTATACAACTCCGAATTGCGTGAGCTGTATCCGGGTAATATAATTGAGGTAATTTCATCGCGGCGAATCAAATGAGCGTGTAAAGTTGTTGGGCTTAGTAAAGAGAGAATTCCTAAAAGGTTAATATTTGCTGTGCCGAATGGTAAGCGTCCGAGGGGTAGACCGAAGCGAAGGTGGGAAAATTGCATTAAAGTCGATCTGAAGGGACTGGGTTTGGACGGCGAACGGTGGAGGGAGGTGTGTAATAAGCGATTGGTGGTGTCGGCATCGAACCTTCGGGTTCGCTAAGCCTTTTATTATTATTATTTAATAAATAGGCAATACATTAAAAAAATCTGGTGCGCACAACACACAACTTTCACTAATCGCTCTACTTAGAATAGAAATTATTTTCTGGCAATACTGGGCTATTATAACATTTTTGAAGTGCATTTTAAACGGAGCTAAACCTTAAAGCTTACAGATAACAAGTCATTAAGACCATTAAACTTGTAAAAAGTCTATTTATTATATCGATGGTAGGCAATAAAAATGTAGTTACTCCATCTGCTTTTATAAATCCCACAACTTAATTTGCTTTCATAAACCACAGAATGATTAACTCCAATTTCAATATTTTTGAGTAATGTCATTTTAGTGATATTTTTAATTATCTATGCAGACAGTGAGTTAGTTGATTCCGGAGGTGGTGATTGCAGTGTTGAAATATAGAACTGAGAATATAAATTTAGGTACTTATTTGTTATGAAATATGTTCTTAGAAAAGGCATATTATTAAATATCTGTAGAAAAAGGTTTTTTTTTTGTCTCAACAATTAAAAAAGTATATTTTAAATTTTCCAAATTTTCGCCTCTTCAGACAAAAAAACTAGAGACCATATCTTTCCTCCTAATTGTCCGAGTTTAACGAATTTTTTAAATTTTTTTTTAAGAAATTCTATAAACTTTTAAAAAACAATATACAATATCGACAAAAAATTGTATACTTTTTGAGTTATTCGGAATTTAATTTTACCATCCCTCGTTACTTTTTTTCCAGTTTCTTTTCGTTGAAATATGT